TTTTCGCAAATTATTATCTACTTTAAAAGAAACCCTAAAAGATATGATGATCGTCTTCTGATAAGATTTTGATATCAACAAATTCTCAGATATCAAGAGAATATGTACAGAAATAAATCGAAACTAAATTTTTTTTTAAATTAATATTTTTCTTATTTTTCAAATTTTAATGGATAAAAAAATATTTTTGATTTTTGTAAAGGTATAAAAAATAATATTAATAATATTAATATTATTTTCTATATTTTTATATTTTTATATGAAATATGTAATAATAATAAATTAATAATAAGAATAATAGTCAGTGAAATTAAAATTATATCGCAAAAATAGTGGATATATTTTAGAATTGATAAAAATAAGTATACCTTAATGCCGGATTCCGCTTTGCGATACCAACTTTTACTTCTTTGAACTGAATTTGACATGATAAATGATAAAAAAAATTCAAAACTTTACAAATTTATCTCACAGTCCAATGCACTCATTGAAATTGAAAACATTTTTCGATAATAAACATTCTTATTTGGAAATAATATCCACAACGCGAGAAAAAAAATCTCTTAATCATTGTTTCAAACAATTTACACTTTCGTGTCTTGATGCATTTGTCACTTTTTAGCACACTGAAGCTTAATTAAGTGCTAATTGAATCACTTTTTTTCCACTTTAGATCACCGTCTTTGAGCAAAAAAAACAAAAAAACAAAAATATTCTCTATAGCAAATTGTATTTAAAAAAAAAAATGTCTATTCTTTTTCTGTAATTGTTAAAAGTTATCTAAATTGCACCGCAAGAAAAGGAAAAAATAAAAACAAAAGTACAAAAAAAAAACAAAATAATTATTTTCAGCAGAAATTCAGAAATAAAATTAAAAAAGTACGAAAGAAATCTTTCAACAGAAATCGAAAAGTGATTTAAGTAAAAATATTCTTTCAGCCCAAAAGACTAAAATAGAAAAAAATAAAGCAAAAACCGAATATTTTCAGTGAATAATTTTTGCAATTTTTATTTTTCTATTTAAAAAAGAAAAATACGAAAAAATCTCTAACGACAAATAATCAGACAATTACTACCAAAAATTTGTCATAGAACATTTTTCGTTTGAAAAAGAATTCAAGAAGAATAAAAATACCAACAAAATTACTAAAAAAAAATGTCCTTTAAATCAATTAAATAAATTTTGCTTCGAGAAATTTTCAAGGCAAATCACCCACACAGTGAATATTTTTTTTTTTCGCAAAAAAACTAAAAGAATAAAAATACACTGAATATGGGAAGATGACACATACACACTGCTCGCGAATAAAGTATTAATTACCCACACGGTCCGGATTACGTTTCAATCCAGTTTAGTGTGCTGAGGATTGCGCACGACTAAACATAATATTTCACTGTATGAAAACAGGGAGAGCATAAAACATTCAAGTTTTACCTAGAGGAACATTTTCAAGTCCAACAAAACGTGTGTACGTATATATTCACTATATGCATGGTTTCTGCGACTGAATAGGTAGTTAACATACCAGCTTTTAAACGCATCAAAGAGAAGGGGGAAAGGGGGGAGGGAGGGGGTGGTAGTGGCACAAATGCAGTAATAAATATACATACCAACATTTGTATAACTGAATCATACTTCGATAATTTTGCACTCAAGTTAATAAAATATTTCATCTGGATTTTTGACTGAAGAAAAAAAAATCCCTATTTTATTAATTATTGAATATTTATTAATTAATTCGACTGAATCAAAAGGAGAAAATTCCCTAATTTGTCATTAATTAGACTAAACCAAAAAAATTTCCTTCCTTATTATTATTATTATTGAATTGAAAATTAATTAATTAATTAATTAATTAATTAATTAATGCGACTGAACCAAAAACAAAAAATTCCCCTTTTTATTACTATCAATTAATTAATTAATTTGACTGAACCAAAAAAAGAAATTCCCTTTTTAATTACCATCAATCAATTAATTATTTAATTAATTAATTTGACTGAACCAAAAAAGGAAATTCCCTAATTTATTATTATTTTTATTGACTATTAATTAATGATTCAATTATCATAAATCAATGAGATGATTAATTAAAAAACTAATTAATTCAAATCACTAAACGAATAAATTGCAAAAATTAATTAATATCGACTGATAATAATTTAGAAATTTTATCGCAAATTAATAAAGAAAAATATTTCCACAAATAAACGGCCAATGCAATTCTAGATCGTTTATAATTGAAATACTTAACATTTTATATTTTTTATGAAAGATAATCAAAATAATTGCCTGATAATTTTCATCAAGTATATAATAGTTTCATTGATACAATCAAAACCTTCAATACAAGAGAGGAAAACAATAAAATATTTTCTCATGCGCTTAGAAACTATTCTAAGGTGTGTAATTTTTTTTGCTCTTTAGTCTTTCTTTCCTTCTTTCTTTCGAGACAGAGAGAAGAAAATTAATTTTGCAATTACAAGAAGTGCAAAATTTTTAAAGAAAAAAAATACTCACAAAACCAGTTGATGCTTTATCCCTTCGATTGGACATTTTGTTTGTTTGGAAATATTCTCCACCTTCAATGCATATCCTGATTCTCTGAAAAAAAATTCCAATTAGATAAACTTGTATAAATAATTCACTTTAAAAAAATAATAATAGTCATAAAAAAAATACTAATAATAATAATAAATAATAATAATAAAAAAATAATAGAAATAATAATAATAATAATAATAATAATAATGAAATAATTTATCATTTTATTCCAAGTTTATTTATAACGATAAAGAATAATAATAAAAATTGAAAATAAAATTGTAATTAAATAAAACATAAACAAAAGATTAAATCTTCCATTTAATTGTATTTTCATTAATTTACTTTTTATTTTACTTTTTTTATTTAAATTTTATTACTATGATTAATTTAATAATTAATTTTCTAAACTAGCAATTCTAACAAAGGAAATCAAACTGAATACGCTGTGTTTTTTTTTAATAATAAGACTGTGTAACGATTTTGAATAGCTCATTATCGGTCATTATTGTCTGAATTAAAAACAAACTTGACAATTTACAATCTTTACAATATTCTATTTAAGGTAATTAATCAAATGCGCCCTGGGGAAATAAAGCACATATTTAATTACACTTTGAGAATAAAATTGACATTGGTCATTGTACAACTTAAATAAATGGTTCAAGCATGTGTGCACTAACCGCCTGTTACTTCTCTTTTGACAGACACTCTATTTAAGACACTTCCTTACAAAAAAAACAAAGAAAATTTAATTCAACGATAATTTTCTATTTTATTTAAGAGAAAAAAAATGCAAAAGAAAAATTTTCGTGATAATTCATCAAGAAGAAAAAATAATAAATAGAATTTGACAACACGAATAGAAATTTGAATATAGAGAAAAAGGAGTTCATATTTTTGCTTGTAAAGTTGTAAGTTTGTACAGAGAGAAATTTGACAGATATTTACGAGGGAGTTAAAATGTAATTGTCCTTTTGAATTATAGAGATTAACTCCATTCGGGAGTAAAATTTAAGTGATATATCATTTAAGTGTGATATCACCCCGAAAAATATATATTTTTAGCATTAAAAATAAACTCGGACCTTGAAAAAAAGAGAGAAACTTACTCATCAACAAACATAACTTCCCATTCATCTAAGGTCGACTACTTCCTCAGGGCTAATCAAGTTATACTTTACGGAAATCTCAATATGTTCAATCATTAATTCACAAAAAATAAATAAAATCGACACAATCAGAAAATTCTTTCAATTATTACTGTTTCTATAATAAATTTTACAACTCCACTTTGAATAAATTAACAGAAAAAAAAATCAGTTGCAATAATCTTACAAGAAAAATTATAAACACATAATACAATAGCTATTATCATTTTGGGAAAAAAATATTGCTAATCTTACGAATTAACCCAAGAAGAAGTTGGTTAAGATTGAAAATTACTGGGGAGAGAATAAATTCCTCTGTCTGAATTATGCAAAAATGGTAAATTAACATAATTATTAATTAAACGAAAAAAAGGTAAACAATAAATACCTGTGTTCAAAAAAATTCGATGAAAATGAAAAGTTGAACAGTAGACAGGTCAAGCACAACTTCTGTTGTTATTTATTCACAAAGAACGACAATATTTCACTTTTCACTGTATTTAATAAATAAGCAAGTTTTATATTTATAAAATATCAACTTGTTTCCTGTTAAAAATATAAGCCAAACACAATCTCTCATAAATTCAGAAATTCTTTTTTTCTTATTGATAATTTGCCTGTACAATGCTTGTTTCAATGTATTATATCCACTATCAAGATTTGTATGTAAAACACATTTTAATTACACTTAGGAAAAAAGCACTTATTTCACATGTTTCATTATCGCCATGAGAAAAATCGTCACAACACAAAACATCGTGTAACCTCGTTAAAGCCGCGTACAATTTGCTTGAAAAAGCCCGTTAATTTTCGAGCTACATGCCAGTTAACATTCCAATTGTAAAACACATCAATGATTGGATCTTTAATCAAAAAACTTTCACTAAATTTATCCAAAGGAATATGCCAATCAATGCGTATTCTTTGATTTTATATAGAGAAAAGAAGAATACAAATTTATCAAATAACTTTCATTTCAAAATCACAGTTTCTTTATTCTAATATAAACTAAATTATTATTAGTTTTGTTTAATAATACTGACTGATGAGGTAAAATACTTAAAACAAACTTTACAAAATTACAAAAACCACGCTTGGTACTAGTCGCTAGACGCGAAAATGTAACTGATTTATTTTGAGGTTATGTTCGGGAGGTTGTCTTCTGGACAAAATCACTCGACCAATCAGAACACAGTATACTGCTTCCTAAATGGCGCACTTTTCAAATTGAAATTAAGAAAAACTGTTTTTTCTGTAAAAAAAATTAAATTTAAGAAATTAAAAAATGAAGAGAAGAATTATAATTGGATGCAAAACATTTATTTTCGACTTTGATTTGAAATTAGGTGACTTCTGTACACTGAGAATATTTATACTTATTTTTCTTTTCGGCAGCATCATTAATGTACAATATTACAGCATAAAAATTTTTCTTTTCTGTATTATATCATCCCATTTCTTTTCTCTCCTAATATTCAATAATAAATGTTGAGAAAAATACAACGTAGTAATGAAAGTTATTTATCATATAAAGTAGAATATTAATTATATAAAGTTTTATAACTGTACTTTTTTTTAATGTCCGTTTTTAAATAGTTTGATGTAAAGAAAAAACTTGTACAACTACAAAAATATATCTCTAAATGTAAACGCAACATTATTTTTCAATTTAACAATTTTTGGACAATCCGTAAAGACAATGACGCTGCACGGTCTTATTATTATTATTATTTTTGTTTTTTAAGTATACAGTACTTTTTTTCTTTCGTACATTTATTATCATTTTTTACTTTTTTTTTTTTTAAATCAATTGTCGTTCACGTACATAGATATTGATGAATAAAATTTTTTTTTCCTCTAAAACAAAATTTTGTTCAATAATTAGAACAATAAATCTCAAACACATGCCAAAAAAAATTATCCTGATAATAATAGTAATATAATTCCTCTTGGAAATTCTTTTTAATAAAGTAAAAATTAAATTGAGATTTTAAAATTAAATTGAGCACGAGTAATTAAAATCAATTTCTGATTTTTCGTCACTGTGCGTTTATAGATTTCGATTTACAAATATATTTTTTGTAATAAAAAATTGAGTCGTCGAAGGGGGGTTAAGGGGGAATTTACGTTAATTAATTCGCATTAATCTCAAAAGAAATTTTCCCTAACTGCCTATTTTTATTTTTTGAAACATATTTAATAAATAGGTCGAGTCAAGGCGTGCACAATATTTTTTTAAATATTAAAAAAAGAACAAAAATATCGTCATTCAAGTTCAAACTATTTCATTACTTGGTGCAAGTTTTCGATAAAACTAACATAATTTATACATTTATATTATTATTATTATTTATTATTAATATTATTATTAAAAATGAAAAAATATTCTACTGACAATATTTAAAGGCTTTCATTAATAAATAAGCCTGACGATTAATTATTGTAAGGCCCGGTTACATTGGTAAGAAGAATATATCGTAACCATTCGGAGCCATTTATTTTTTTTTCTCTCTCAACTTGCAACATGAAAGAAATGAAATAGTTTTTACAATTGATTTATAAATTCTATAATTTTATGTCACTTTTTTTTCAAAAATTTTTCGTATATTTTTTGTTTTCTTTATTCGCAAATTGTATAAGAATCGTTAAACATGATAAAAGAACATTTTCTCCTCTCTTCTTTGAAAAAATATTGAAATAGTTAAAATAGTAATTTTGCAATCAAAAAAGTATGAGAAAAAAATTAACCTTGAAAAGAAAAATACCATTTCCTCCTTAAATAAAAAAAAATAATATGAATCAAAATTTTCTCTATAATAATAAAAAATGAAAAATCTAAAGTATACACTGATCTGTTGCTAACAATAAAACATTGAAAATATAAAGTTCTATTTTACTTCTTTTTTAAAAAAATCAGATAATAATCTGACATTTTTTTTCTGCTTTTTATTTAAGTCTTTTTTTTTTTAGTTCTTCTAGTGAAAAACCATTCGCGGGCAAAATTACAAATATTTATCCATTCGCACAATGCTGTACAAGCTACACGTACATACAAGTAAATAAAAGTTAATTGAAAAAAAAATATTTTGTGAAAAATTAATTATACTATCAATCTTAATTAAAGGCCATTTTAGCGCATTAAGGGGGGCAGGGGATGGGCAGCGAAACACTAAAATTATTGCAAAAAAATATTACGGAGAATTCTTTATAATAAAAATGAGTCACGTTCGATATTAATTAAAATCACTCGCATTAAGGAGCAATTTCTTAGCAAAAAAAATTCTACGAATTTCGTTGCAATTACAGCAAAGTTTCTATTATTAATTATTATTAATTATTAAAAATTTCATAATTTTCATAAATTTCATTAATTTCGTTAATTTAATTTTAATAAATTTCATAATTACACTAATTCAATTAGAATAATTATTCACTTATTTAATTTCAATTAAAAAATATGTTTTTTCTTTCTTTTTTTTCTTTGTATTTAAAATCTTTTTTTTTAAACCAAGTTTTGATTCTTACAAATTGAATCAACAATATTTCTTTATATACAGTTTTATATTTATGTACATATTTCAAATAGATTGACCTTAAATGTTAAAAATAAAAAATTGAATTATATCTCTTTATCGTGAATAAAAAAAAAATTGTGTAAGTATCGAATCTTGGTGAAATTTTTCTTTTGACAAAATAAAAAGAAAATTATAAATACAAAAAAATGAGCACAGCCTCTTTTACAAACATTTTTCAACAAATAATTCCTTTGCTTTAGTTGCAACGAGTGAACCATCATAACTTTTTTTTTTGTTTTTGTTTTTTTTTGTTTTTATAGAAATTTTTGTTTTTTAAACAACTGTGCAAAACTTTGATATCTGACTTCGTGCTTTTTTCTTTCTTTTTTTTTATGTTACAATTTTTACTCGGTTCAAGATATCAAGGGCACTTGAAAATTCTATAAAGTCCTTTTCTTTTCTAGATTCTATTATAAAAAAAAATTATTTCTTTTATACTTAATAATAAGCATGCGTCACTATTCATCCACAAAGCGAGTCAATAAAAGTTCGAGTGAATATAATTTCTTAGTGTCTAAATTTGGAAAACGACTAAGATGTTCGTATAATGTACAGTGAACTATTGGAACTTCCGGTGCAAGATTAGAAGTATGTGAATCAATTAATTTCATTATAGTGTCAATGAAATTCGACCATTCATCACGATAATAATAGGTAATCGGAAAAATGAATTCTGCCTGTTGTAATAGTACAGCAATTATTGAGATACCAAACTGGAAAAATAGACATTTTTTTATCAATTTCGTTTCGAATATTATTTAACTATTATTTAATTACTATTTACTATTTATTATTTCTTTAGATATAATATATATAATATTAATAAAAAGTAATTTTTTGTTTTGATTTTTTCCAAAAGTTTTCCTTTTGGAAATAAAAACGGAAATTTTAAATTGATCGAACTAAAAATAATTGAAATAATAAATTTTTGTAATTAATTAATATATGATGATTGAAATAAAAAAGGAGAAAAGTTTTAGGAAAAATATAATTGCAAATTAAATAAACGAACCTTATTTGTTAGAGCGAAGGCTAAACTGTTACTTTTCGTCGGTTGATATGCCGTCTCCATGAAAGCCCTGGCCAATTGAAGGAGAACTGAGAAATTCGTTTCCGAATCAATCCATTTTCGAAATTGGAGATAAAATTCCATCAATAAACTTGAATCTCTCCGGCCAATGATTGCCAAGCCGCGCAATAAACCAGCCCATATTTCGGCCAATTGACTTCTATATTCATTTTCATTGACGAGTCGCAAAAATCGCAGCAACAGTGTCTGTAAAATTGCGGAAAAATCCATTTAATTGGAATATTAATTATTAAGAATGTAAATTAATTTGAAAATTTTGTTACTTTAATTAAATAATAAAAGTTAAATTGAATATTCCTGAATCATTCAATTATTTTTATATTATTTTTATAAATTAGTAAAATTTTTAGCCAAAATTCAATTATTTTCAAAAAAATTTAAATAAATCCTTCAAAACAATTAAATTATTTCTTAAAAAAGTAAAATTTTGCAAAAATTCAATTATTTTCAATAAAATTTCACGAAAGAATTCAATTTTTTTCTTAATTTGTTATATAATTTAAAAAAAAATTCAATTATTTTCTAATATTTTAATGAAACCTACAAAACAATTTAATTATTTTTATAAATCGAAAAATTCTTTGCAAAAATTCAATTATTTTCAATATAATTTTTAAAAAAATGTCATGTAACAATTCAATTTTTTTTAAAACTTTTAATAAAATTTCACTAAAGAATTCAATTATTTCTTAAAATTTTAATAAATCCTTCGAAATAATTCAATTATTTTTTTAAATAGTAAAATCTTTGAAAAAATTGAATCATTTTTAATAAAATTTCACGAAAAAATTGAATTTTTTTCTTAATTCCTTATAAAATTTTTCAAAAGAATTTAAGAAAATTCTTCGCAAGAATTGAATGATTTTTTATAACTAATAAAATGCATCACAGGAATTCAATAATTTTTAATATAATTTTAATACAATTTCATGAAAGAATTTAATTTTTTGAAAAAATTGTAATAATATTTTTCGAAAAAGTTCAATTATTTTCTAAAATTCTAATAAATCCTTGGAAACAATCCATTTTTTTAAAATTTTTAATATAATTTTTCGAAAGAATTCAATTATTTTCTATATTTTAAATAAAAATCTTTGAATGAATTAAATTATTTTAGAAAATTGTAATAAAACTCTGAGACGAATTTAATTATACACTATTATTTTAAAAACTTTAAAGAAATTCTTATTAAAATTCAAATAATTTCAAAATTTTTAATTAAAATTAGTAAAGAAAATCCATTATTTAAAAAAAAATTGAAGGATATTCTTTAAAAGAATTTAATTAGGATTTTCAAAAATTTTAATAAAATTCTTTGCAAGAATCCAATTATTTTCCTAATAAATAAAATTCTTCGAAAGAATTCAATGATTTTCAATGCATTACTTTTAAAATTGAAAATATTTAAATTAAAATAAATTAATTTGAATATTTGTTATTTTAATTCAATTATAACAAAATAATAATTGAAAATAATTGTAATAATTGAAAATAAATAAACTAAAAGAAATACGTACTTTGCCTTTTCGGATACTTAACATTCCAGCTAATTTGTCATCCTTCTGTAATTGCAAGAGGGAGGAAAAAATCATTGTTATTAATTCTGGCACCGATTTCTTCACAACCTTCGCTTCCTCTTCGTTTTCCTGTAATTCCTGTTGCTCCTGTCGTTGCTTCTCTGCTAGTAGCGCTAGCGGATTATTCGCGTCCTCGAGATTTAATAGCAAAACGTACAACTGCAATTTTAATAAAACAAAAAAATTAATAAACTATTATTATTGTAAATAAAATGAAAGTAGAGTAAAAAGGAAACAGTTTCTTTCATATTACGGCGTTTAAACTAAAAACAGTTAAATATCTTCTGAAGTATTTTCTTCACAATTCACAGATTCGAGACTCAATCAAATTGTGTAAAAATTTGAAAAAAATGATAATATTAAAAAAAATAAACAAGAAATCTGTTAAACTTGTCTGAATTTTTATTTAGCTTTAGAGAAATAATTATTGAACTGAAAGAAGTTAATTTAATTATTAAGTTTATTTTTTTTATTACTTAAGTTTATTAGTTAACAAAAAATTACCCTTTCTATTTCAAGAAGTAGTTGGCGCGTTTTTTTCGTATCCTTCTGATGAGGCGGAAGTGCCTGCTGTGGATCACTGTTCGGAACAATATCCATGTCAATAATTTTTCGCGGAGCCGTCACACTTCCGCATTGAAGTTTTCCTAAGGAATTTTCAAACTGCATCGGCGTATAGACAACTTTAACGAACGTGTGCTGCGTCTGCTCTCTATCCCTTTATAACAAAAATTATAAATTTAAATCTATGACTTACGATTTAGAACTTTTGCTTTGGAAAAGGAAAATATATTTTTCCAAAGTACCAAATTCCAAAAATAAAATGTTCCAAAGTACGAAAGGAATATAAAAGAAAATATAGAAATAAAAATAATAATATAAACAGAGAGAAACTGAGAGTGGTTATGTCCATAGTAAAGATTCGGTTAGTATAGCGCCACAGTTCTGCATTATAGAGAATGATAACGTTGCAAACATCATCGCAATTGCCGCGTAAACAATCAGAGCGATTCGTGAAACTTCGGTAATAGTCGAAGATCGCCGAAGAATTCAATGCATTTTGAAAATGTTCAATTATTCATTTGTTTACAATTCAATTTTGCGAAATTTCAATTATTCGGAAATTCTTCAATTAAATATAAATTAGAAAATAAACTCTTGAAATAATTTTAAAAAATTTCAATTAAGCTTTAAAAAACAAATTAGTCCCAAAGAATTTTTAATTAAAAGTATGAAAAATTCAAATTATCAAAGATTTTAATTTGAAACCTTTACAAAATCCAATTATTTCTAAAAAATTGCAATTATTACTCACTTCTCCAAACTTCAATTATTATCTACAACTGTAACTGAAATTAAATTTTATAACAATTTTAAATATTAAATTCTACGAGAATTCAATTATTTAAATACAAACATAAATAATTTATTGAATAATTGAATGTTTTTTACAACTAAATTCTTATACATAATTTTATCAACAAATTTTTAAATAATTGAATTCTTTCGACGAATTTTATTAAAAATAATTGAAATTCTGCACTGAGTTTTATTATTTATGAAAATAATTAAATAATTGCAAAGAATTATAAAAAAAAAGTTTCGAACAATTGATTTTTTTCGAAAAAATGTATGCAAATTCTATTTTTAATAATTGAATTCCAGTGAAATTTTCATTATTTTACAAAATAATTGAATAAACGTGTCGAACTTTGTCAAAATTGGTTTTAAATAATTGAATTCTTTTGGGAAATGTTATTAAAATAACAGATATACAAATTATTGAATTAAGAAACATTTCTGAAAATAATTGAAATTTTGCAATGAATTTTGTTAAAATTTTTGAAAATAATTGAATTTTATTAACTTTTGAATATAATTAAATTCTTGTGATGTATATTGTTATTTATGAAAATAATTGACTTCCTTCGAATGATTTTATTAGATATTTATGAAAATAATTAAATCCCAGAAAAGAATTTTCAAATTTATGAATATAATTGAATTACTGCGAAGAATTTAATTCCAAATTATAAAACATTTGATTTTTTCGAAAAAATGTAATTGTATGAAAATTCTATTTTAAATAATAGAAAATAATTAAATAATTGTGAAATTTTTATTTTTTTGAAAACTAATTGAATGTTCGTGTAGAATATTATCAAAATTTTTGTTTAATAATTGAATTCTTTGGGGAAATTTTATTAAAATACTAGAATATTAAAAATCATTGAATTAAAAAAATTTTTATGAAAATAATTGAAATTTTGCCATGAATTTTATAAAAAAAATTTTTAAATAATTGAATTTTATTAACTTTTGAAAATAATTGAATTCTTGTAATGAATACTATTATTTATGAAAATAATTCAATTTTGCAATGAATTGTATTAAAATTCCTGAAAATAATTGAATTTTGTTATTCATTTATAAAGATAATTGAAATATTGACAATTTTTTTTAGATTTTTTGAAAATAATTGAATTTTTGTGATAAATATTTGTTATTTATAAAAATAATTAAATTTTACAATGTATTTTATAAAAATTCCTGAAAATAATTCAATTTTGGCGAAGAATTTTGCTATTTATAATTTATAAAGATAATTAAAATATTGACGAGAATTTTGTTTTTTAATTTTTAAAAATATTTGAATTTTTGTAAAGAATTTTATTTACTTTTGAAAATAATTGAATTCTTTTGATAAATATTTGTTACTAATGAAAATAATTGAATTTCCCAATGTATTTTATAAAAATTTATGAAAATAATTTAATTTCGGCGAAGATTTTTGCTATTTATAATTTATAAAAATAATGAAAATGTTGACGAGAATTTTGTTTTATAATTTTTGAAAATATTTGAATTTCTCTAAAGAATTTTATTAATTTTGAAAATAATTGAATTCTTTTGGTGAATACTATTATTTCTGAAAATAATTGAATTTTGCAATGAATTTTATTAAAATTCCTGAAAATAATTGAATTTTGCTATTCATTTATAAAGATAATTGAAATATTGACAATTTTTTTTAGATTTTCTGAAAATAATTGAATTCTCGTGATAAATATTTGTTATTTATGAAAATAATTAAATTTTACAATGTATTTTATAAAAATTTCTGAAAAATTTTTTAATTTTTGAAAATATTTGAATTTCTGTAAAGAATTTTATTAAATTTGGAAAATAATTGAATTATTTTGATGAATATTATTATTTATGAAAATAATTGAATTTTATAATGAACTTTATAAAAATTCCTGACCAGTTTTACTTTCCCTGAATTCCCTGATTGTTAATCACTAGAAAAAAAGAAATAAAAATTTACCTCGAGTCTTTATGATGTCCATTGCGATGCTTCCTGTCCATATTATTATCAACATTCTTCTTCTTTCGACGATCACAAAAAACAGTGTAATAATAATCATCAACGTAAGGTTGATTGGTATTGAGTTGTAAAAGTTGAATATTATTTAACCATTGCTTCTCGCGAGTACTCATAAGACCGGCGTATTCATCATAATCCCTCGGTATATTTATACCATTTAAACCTTGTGCGTGATGATGGGAATGATGGAAACGTTGATTATTATGATTTTGATTGTGATTGTGATTATGATTGTGATACGGAAGTTGATTATTTTTAAAGAATGGCTGATGATTCCCTTGTTGTTGTTGTTGCTGCTGTTGTTGTTGTTGCTGTTCATTATTATGAAACGGCCTATTTTGATTTCGCTGATTAGCGGAATGCAATGGATGTTTAAATTGTTGATTCGCTTGATTATTCGCGAACGGCATCATTGGATGATCGGGTCTCATGAACTGTAAATTATCCCACAAAATTTAGTTTAGTTTCTCTTTTTAATCAATTATTTAGATTGTTTTTTAAATGTTTAATCAATTACTAATTATAGAATTAAACATAAAGTTAAATTTAAGAAAATAGAAATAAATATTTGAGTCAACTTACTGGAAAATTGCCCAAGGGAAAGTTACCAGGCATCGGTTGCCGTTGCCCTCCGGGTGGCAATATTAAATGTGGAGGCACCAGGAATCTCAACATGTTACCACCTTGATCTGATGATGAGTTAAAAGAATTAAAATTAAAATATTTCTTTGCTCTTAATGAACTAGAATCTAAAAATTAGTAAATAAATAGATAGAAAAAGGAAATTAGAAATAAAAAATTCGAACTTACTGGGCATTTTGTGATTTGGTATAAATTGTGGATGGGGCAGTCTGAGATTTGGAGGAAGCATAACCGGTGGCGGTGGGGGTAATGGTAGACCCGGTGGAAATCGAGGTGGCATTCCATTAATCTGAATTTGATCATTAATTGGCATAGAATCAAAAAATCCTCCCTGCTGTTGTTGTTGTTGTTGCGTCGGACCTTGTGGTAGTTTATTAATTCCAGGCGGAGGTCTATTACCAATGAGACCGCGTTCTAATTCCTCGACTGTACATACTTTTTTTAAAGCAGTTGTCAATGGTGGTTTTGGCTTCGGTAAAGGAAGATTCGCTGGACTGTCCCAAACTCCAGGTCGCGGTATGATGCCCTCCTTCTCATCCAGCACCAAATGGGACAGGCTATTCTCAATATCAACTTCTGCATCGTTCTGGAAAATTAAAATAAAAATGAAATAAAAATTGTTTACAAAATTTTTACAAACCGATTAACGAATATTAATTAAAAAGAAAAGAATTTTAACAACGAATTGGTAAATAATTGAATTCTTTTGATTAATTTTAATAATATTTTTAACCGAATAATTACATTTTTCGAGAAACTCGATTAAAATTGTATTAAAAATAATTGCGAAGAAATTTATAAAAATCGAGACAAATTTTTGAAAATAATTAAAATTTTACGAAGAATTTTATTGAAATTAATGAAAATAATTGATTTTCAGAGAAGAATTTTATTATTTACAAAGATAATTTAAATGTTGACAATTTTTTTAGATTTTTTAAAAATAATTGAATTTCTGCGAAAGATTTTATTACTTTTGAAAATAATAAATTTTTTGGAATCATTTGTAAAATTAAAACCTTTTCAAGTTCATCTATTTATGAAAATTGTAAACACAACTCTGTTAAAATTGAATTAATTTTGAAATAATTAAGTAAAATTATTCTAACCTTATGTACTATAGAATTAGATTTTTTCAACGAATTTTTATGACTCGGTCGTGAGGATTCAGTGATTTGTGCTAATTTCTCATGATCTTGTTCCCAATCGCCGACTGGTGCCTCAGAACCGAATGTCTCATCATTAAGTGCATCGTATTTCTCCTCTTCGCCAAAATCATCATCGTCTAAGGGGCCGTAAATTCCATCCTAAAAGAAAACCATTTCATAAACAAAAACACAATTTCATAAAAATAAAATAGCAAAAAAAAAAGAAACATAAACATACAAACACCAAAACTTGAACGACTCACAGAGCAAAAGAAAAAAAAGAACGAAAACCCAAGCGAAATACAAAACAGATTAGATTGCGATTCAAGGAAGTAATTTAAGACAGATTGAAGGATGATAATAAAAATATTTTTTTGTTCAACAAAAACCCAACAGCCAAGTACCATGTTATTGACCTTTCTAGGGCGGGGGGAGTATTGTGGGGCATTCCAAGAAGACAGGTTATGTCTCTAATATATATATTGACGATAAAATAATCCCCTGGAGAACAATTAGCATATGAAAATTCATTTAAATATTAAACATATAATTTGTCAACTAACATTAAAATTTCCCATTGCAATTCATTCTCACTAATGTAAACTAGAATTTGAAAATCGAATAAATTGTTTAGAATAAAAATTGTTGGGTCAATAATAAAATATTTTAAGAATAAGAAACACGGACAGTTCCGACGCAAAAAAAACGTTCCATTTAAGTAATGATAACACTTTCACTAAGCGATGGAGATTAATGTGTAATGTGGAAAATTAATGAAAATTATTTACTCACCCCGTGTGTTGTATTAAATCCGAAAAAAGAATCTGCCATTTGATAGAATTAAATTCACAAAATGTCATGTTCTGATTAAACGTCAAGTGCAAGTAGACATTTGCCGTCATGGCGTTCTGCTTACAAAGTTGGGAAAATTGCCGATAGATGGCAATGTCAAACAGATGGCGCTGCATTCGCTGGTCACCTGATCTCATTTAACCGCCATTTTAACGGTGTTTTGTATAAAGTTTGTAAAAAATCGTGTTTTCAAGTTCGAGAAATACATTTGTAAAATTGGTTTGATTTGATTAATATTTGATGATACTTATCATCGAATTATTCAAATCAAAAATGTATTCATCATGGGGAACAATTTCCTTCTGTCTTCTTTTGGAAATATTCTCCGAATGGTGCAAAAATGGTAAGATTTTCAAAAGTCAATAAATTTCGTTTGTATATTTTTGGAATATTTTCAGCTTGAATCTAATGAAAATGTTTTTTTGAAATTGTGGAAACTTGACAATATGATAATAGTAATTGGAAATTATTTATTTTTATTGAAAATTGCAATTTTTTATTTTGCTGATTTAGAGGTTATGTTTGTTGTTATTGAAATTTTTTCGTTTTTAAAAAAAAATTAAAGTTAAAAATTGTGTTTTTCGTTTCTTTTGTCGCAAATATATAGAATTTTAACTATTTTATTTATTGAATTACTTAAAATTGTAACTTTAGCGAATTGCTTGCAAAATGGTGAGAAAATAACAATATGCGTCACAGTCACAATGGAAAATTTCGCGTAGAAAAAATAAATCGATTTGAAAAAATAATTAAATAACGAGAAAAGAAATGGAAAAAACTGTCGCATTTATTTGCTATTGTCTATATATATTTAGCAAACAGGCGCCTTTTGGTGTTAAATATTAAAAAATGTGTTGCAATTTAAATTCTGCGTCATAAACTAAATCTGGAATGAAACAATTTTTTCTAATTTGTGTATAGATATAAATCTAGTTTACTAAATTAATGATTCATTTACAGTAAATCTGCGTTTCGAAATTTTTTCAATTGAATTAAAATTAAAAATAATTTTTCAAAATTTTCAAATCAATGAACGCAAATATTTTTTTAATTCTAAAATTAATTAAAAATTTTCTAATTCTATTTCCTTTTTTTAGAAGAAAATTTTTTAAAAATATTTTTTTATTTCAGCAAAAAAGTCGAGGAAGAGAAAACTTTTATTGGAGGGAGAATTGAATTTCATCGAGAGAATTATTAAATTAATTAAATGGAAAGAAATTTATTAAAAATTCAAGAGTGATTTGAAAAAAGGATTTCAAAAGGAATTACGCAATTAAATGGTAACAATATTTTAAATATTTACAAAAACTTTTTAATAATTTCTCAATTTGCATCAATTTTAATTTAAATTCAATTAAAATTAGTTTATTTCATTAGAAATAATTGAAATTCAATGAAAGTTAGTTAATTTAACTACAAATTAATTATTAATTAATTTAAATTCGATAAATAAAACTGAAAATTTCAAATTTAATTTTATACATTTTATACATTTAATTTTATACAGAAAATGAATTGATTTAAATTAAAATTGAAATTTTCGGTTTTATTTATCGAATTTATATCGAATTTCAATTTTAATTGAAATCAATTCATTTTCGGTTATAAATGAATTGATTTAAATTAAAATTGAAATTTTCGGTTTCGTTACTGTAATTTTACTCATTTTTTTTTCTTGAAGCAATTTTGAGCATAAGGAGTGTAGTGAATTATGAGAGAAAAAAACAATTTCTGGAGATATTTCACAGTTACTAGACAATATAAACATGACAATAAAAATGAACCGACGTCATCATTGAAAAAGGATGTATGCGTGAAACAATTACTGGGAATTACGAGGAATCAATTTTGCATTTGAGAAGATGAAGAAGTAGTGAAGAGAAGCCGTGACTTTTGCTTAAGCGGAGGCTCGTCTCCTCTATGATGACGATGGCGACGTGTGTGTTAAAATTAAATCCAACAGACCGACGTCTGCATCTTGCCGACGGCGACGTCGCGACGAAGTGTGCGTCCTTTAGCTCAGTCTCAAGAGCATATTCCGTCAGTGTGGATGCTTTGAATTTCTTGTTTTTTTTTTAACTTCCTGAGCTTTGAGCGTGTTTTTTTTCTCTTTCTCGCGTGGACCATCTTTCTCTCTCTCTCTCTATTCTCTCGTCGGAATTTTAAACCTGTGATATTTTCGGTAAAAAGCCTATATACCCTTGGAATAACTCGAGAGTAGCCGAAAGCGCAGTCACGACGTCCCACACGAGGTAATCCGGCACAATCGGCAACGAAAAAAAAAACCGAACCACCTTCATATTTAATCATTCCCTCTCGATTCTATTCGTCAATGATTTATTTAAAGAATTTGTTTTTTATTTACAAAAAGGAAAAATTACACCCATTTTTCGAATAATCGTAAAATTTTTTTTATTCCTATTTCAATTTTTTGTTTAAATCTTAGATTTCTAAGGAAATTCTTTTGGCAAAAATATTTTCTCGATTTGTAGGATAAGAATAGTTTCTTACGAATTGCAATGAACATTTTTCGTTTGAAATATTTTTTTTATCATAATTACGTAATTCAGTTTTTCGAAAATAGTCTCTACTTAATTTTAACACTTTTTACGTTTTGGAAATTTGAGAAGTTTATTCTTCCTTCGTCAATTTGACACTTAAGCGAATGAGATGCCAAATATTTCATCTCTTAAAATATTTTCTAAAAAAAAAGACTTAGAAAAACTTCCTTTTTTCGAATTACTTCTGTTTTTGCAAAACAATATTTCAAAACAAGTGAAAAATTTAAAACAAAAAATATTTAACTATATTTTGAATTCACGAAAATAATTCTTTGTCTCTCGTTAAGAAAATTCCCCAAATGAATTCACTGGGTCGTTGGACGTATTCATAAAATTTTTGATAATTCTCTCCTATGACGTTTTTCAACTTAGTGATGATATTCTTTGCCAACTTTTCAATAAACAGAATTTCATGCCGATGCTCCAGATAGATGCGATGATTTGAAAATTCTTCCGATTCGTATACGCGCGCAGACGTGTGTCAAGAAAAACACGTGTGCTAAAAATGTTTGTTGACATTGAAATTTTCTATTATTTTTTCTTCAACGAACATTTTTTTACTTTCGATTTTTTGATTTAAAGGAGAAAAAAAAATTGTAATTCATAATTTCAAATTTTTTTCCCTGCCAAGCTTTTTGATAATTTAAAAATTTATTTCTGATTTAGAAAGACAAAAAAAAACCCAAACACAGTTTAAAATCTTTCCTTTGCCAGCTTTTCGATAATTTAAAAAGCTTTTTCGTATCAAAGCGAATTTGATTTTTGTTTGCAACTATAGAAAAATTAGTTTTTTATCGAATTAGAATTACTTTACAATCGATTAAAAATTATTTCGTTACATAAATATGTATAAAAAAATATTATTATTATTATTATTATTATTATTATTATTATTAATTTTTTAATAGTTTTCCGTTCGTTATTTATTAAATTATTGAATCAAAAAATTTTTTACTAGTCATTAAGAACAGAAATAGGTGTAAGTTTATTATTGCTATAATTAATTATTATTTTTATTGTTCTTAGTGTTATTTTTAGTAATTATTATTGATTAATTGTTAAATAATAATGGTACAAAGTGTTTTGTTCTGAGAGTTAATTAGTGGTAAAATAAATTGAACTTGTTTTGTAATCGATTAAAAATGATCGATGAGAAAAAAATTTTCGAGAGGAACATTATTGCTAATTGATCAATTGTGTCGTCACTGTTGCATTAATTTCCAAGGAAAAATTTTCCACGATTCATTGTACATATTTAGAGCATGTTGCATTTATTGTAGTCGCGTGAGTTGAAAAATGTCAATGAAAGAAAAATTCCGTTTAAGTGCAATGGAATCATCATTCTCGTTCATAAATATAATTTTTTTTTCTTTTTTCATTTGGAAAAATTGACATACTGATTTTTAGAAAATAAAAAGAAAAAATAAATTTCTCTTTTTAGAATAATAATTATATAATAATAATAATAATAATAATAATAATAATTATAATAATAATAGAAATAGAAATAGAAATAGAAATAGAAATAGAAATAGTAAAAATAATAATAGTAACAATAATAATAAATAACAAAAAAAATAAATATTCGCAAGTTTGAAATTTGAAAGAGTGATAATTTCGAAAATTGCTAATATTCCTTTCAATTTATCAAAATAACAAATAAACAAAAATTAAAATTGGACCATATAGAAATTGAAATTGTCACTGTCGAAATAGATTTTGAATTCGATTTTGCTTAGGCGATATAGTTTGAAAGTGTTTCTCAATTCATCAATCGAAAAAGTATGGAGGAAAAGTATAAAGTGTCACCAGGTTACTAGCCTTGATCGTCTGCCAAAATATTTGACAGGGAAAGCGTGCAGTTGTCACGGGCTAATTTTACCTGTATAAAGTGTAGTACACCTGACGTCTAAACGTAGAATATAATTTTCTTCTTTTTTTCCTTTCGCGCGCAAATTACATAATTTCTTTATTTCTCTCTTTTAAATTTGCAATTATTTTTTTTTAGCGGAAAAAGAATTTTTCTTTTTTATTTTGACTCAATTAACGATGCACATATAAGTGTGTAAAAAAACAAAAATAGATTGCCATTGACCTCTCCGGAATCAAGCAACAGCCAAATTAAAACTCAGCCAATTGTTCATTCAAAATTATTCTTCAAAAAAAAAAAAAGATTCATTTAGAAAAAATTGAGAATTATTCTAGTTTTTCGCAATTGGTTTTTTTTTACCGAAAAGAACAGGAAATTTTTTTTTTTCTTGGAAAAATTATTTCTTTCTGAATTGCATTTTCACGGGGGAAGGGGGCATTTTTTCAGGTATTTTTATTAGGTATTTTTTTTTATTGAGTATTTTTTCCATTAGGTATTTAATTATTTATATTGCAATAATTGCAATAATCGACAATTTTTTATTTCAATTAGTATTAATTTAATTATTTGGAAGCAAAATTTATTTTTCGCTTTTTATTCTTTATTTTTCAATTTATCTTTCTGTTATTTTGATACTTTTATAACTTTTCTTTTTTATTTAAGGAGAATATTTGCAATTTTTGATTCAAACTGCAGCATATGTTGTAAAGAATAAATCATACAAACTGATTTGAAATTCGATTTTTAAAAAAATTCTAAAAGTTTGAATTTATTTTCTCTTCAACGTGTAACTTTATTTTTTGTTTTCTTTTATTTTTTTAATATAAGTGATTTTAATTTTTGTTTTTTCTATTGAAAGTAATTTTTACTTTTTAATTCAATCGATTTTGATTTTATTTTTTGTATCTCAATATTTTTTTTTGGATTTTTTTCATTTTAATTGATTTCGATTTTAAATCACAGCTAAAAATTGGAAATTAAACATTTTTTTAATCGTCTCGAATTAATTAATTCCAAAATTGCTTCAATTTAGAATATAATATTTTTTATAATCTAGAAATAAATTTTTCCTTGTTTGAATTAAATTTTATCGAATAAAATAAAAAGGAACTTTTCAATATTTTCTTTTATTTTATTCGATAAGTTTTTAAAATTATTTGAACGTTCGATTCTTTAGGAACATTGATTATTTAACAATTAATAAAAGAAAAGAAAATTATAATTTAATAATGGTTTTTCTTTTTCTAACAAAAAATCGTTTTTTAATATTAATTTTCCTTTTTCAATAAAAATCGATTTTTAACGATAAATTTCAGTTTTCTAATAAATCTGGTGGATTTTGCAGGATGGACCGAGATGACGATGATTTCGGCGAGGGTTTCATCGCGGAATCACATCCCCTGAGACCAACTCATCTTAACGTTCCAGGAGGAGGAGGTCGAAATGAATCTCGAGCACCAAGTATTAGTAGCAGTGTTAGCGATATGGATGTGCCAATTTATACCAGAGAAACCACCATACCACTTTCAGCTAAAAAGGTGAGTCTACGTAATTAGATTTTATTTATAACTCGAAACCGTAGCGCATCTAACTTATATACGTGAGAATTTGCCTTAAAATACATTTTTACGTCAGAAAAAAAAATGTTCTTTCAATGCAAAGAAAAAAGAAACAATTCGCGATTATTATAGTATTCGCTCACAAAATTGAATTTCTCACCATTAATATATAAATAAATAAAGAAATAAAGAAATAAAGAAATAAATAAAAAAAGAAATAAATAAAGAAATAAAAAAAGAAATAAATAAAGAAATAAAAAAAGAATTAAATGAAGAAATAAATAAAGAAATAAATAAAATAAATAAAAATTTACCAAAAAGAAAATTGAATAAAAATTATATTAAAAAATTCGAACGAAAAAAATTCAATTTAAAGAGAAAATTGTGCAAAAATACTTTAACAAACTCGTAAAATCGATTTTTCCCGTTTGGTCCTCACTGTCTGAAAAAAGAAGCTTTACGCTTTGAATAGAATCTGACGCAAAATTTTGTTCAATGGTGTGCAGAGCATTCGGTTTCCTTTGATGACGCAATACAGAAAAAGAGGCGTGCATGAGAAAGATCACGTCTTTATAACTCTAGATAATAGATTTCCAAGCATTCGATTAATATGCCCCCCAAAGTTTAAAACACATTGGATTATTAAATGATTTATATTCTATAAATTGTTTAATAGCAAAAAAAAATAGACAAATATTCGCGTATTATTTCACGTGAGGCGAAAATTATTATCTCAATGTCAATGGCACGTTTTTTTTACTCGATAATGAAAAATTATTATTTTTTTATTTTAGTTTATTATAGAAAATAAATTATATTTATAAAAATAAATTAAAATTAAAATCTTCTGTTGGAAATAAATAATAATTTACGAAAATAACAAAATTATTAAGACTATTTCTATTTTTATTCAAAAAGAAAATAGAATAGAATTTATTTTTTTTTATTATCATTAAAATTGTTGCGATTACTATTATTATCAGTATTATCGAAACTATTTTTTTTCTTTCTTATTAGTGGTACTATAAATAAAAGAATAAAAAATTTTTTTTTTGAAATAAAATAATATTTTATAGAAAAGCAATCTTTATTTTTAGAGAGGGCAATTTCTCATCTTGCCAGTCTACAAACTATAGAGCGCAGCTAACGATAAAACCTAATTAGCCATTGATTTTATTAGCGCAAAATTAGAAATTATAGAAGTAGGGAAAATTTATTATTCGAGCTTCATTATTAATTCAGCTTTTTAGTTATTTTAGAGACGAAAATAAATTCCACTTTTTTTATTCCAGAAAAACAAATATTATTTTTCCTATAATGAAAAAGAAAAATAAACGAATAATTTAATTTAACCGGAAAAGCTATAAATTATTTGCTGTAAAAAATTCAAAAGAAAAAATATATAAAATAATAATCATAATTTCTTTTTGTTAAAATCATTTTTTAATCATTTTGTAATTACAAATTAATAATAATAATTATGATAATCAATAGAAATAATTCTAATTATTGTTATAAATAAAAACAAAATTTTTTTCTTTTAATAAAAAACCACTTTTGGTATGAATATGAAAAATAGAAAGAAATTACTTTTAATATTTTTTTTTTCTCTTTCGAATATAATTTGAGTGAGTTGTTTGATTTTTTATAAAAGATAATTTAAATAATGATTATTAATGAGTGAAACAGGTCGTTGACTTTTATCAATATACAAATGAGAGGATCTTGATCTTCGAAAACCGGTCAAAATTTATTGGAGAAAGTATTTATTTTTCTTTTCATTATTTTTCGATTTTTTTTTTATTTTTTTTTTGTAGAGAAAGAGCCCTTGAAATGTATTCTAAAAAAAGAATTGAATACCTGTTTAGAATATATAGGAAAAGGGAGAGAAATAAAATATAGTTGATATCTTTAACTTGAGGGATTGCTCCTCCTTATATTGTATAATCTCATTCGGACATTGAACGCAGTTTCTATAAGTATAATCTTATTCAAAAGCATTGTCCGATTTTTCATTTTCATCTATCGCTGAGATAATCTTTTCCTTCTTTTTTTTTTCTTCGATTTTTTTATGGCGTCCCTTGAAATTTAGGAACGATATAGAAAACCTTTTTTATATTGAAAAAAAATGGTTCTATTAAGTTATTTATTTATTTATTATTTTATTGTTTTTATCAATTTTTTTATTTATTTATATGGGCAAATAATAAATAAATTAAAAATTAAATATTTTAATTACATCTTTTTCTAAAACAGTAAAATTGTTAAAATTATTTTCATTTTCCATAATTGATAATTATTTTATTTTCAAAATTGAAATCTCTAAAAATTTTGAATAATTTTAATTTTCGACTTTAATATTTCCAATTTTACTTTTTCGTTTACCTAATTTTTTTTTAAATATTTTTTTTTTGGTATCACTTCACGAAGTGGAATAAGAATTTCCTTTGGGAAAGGAATAATAATTTTTTGTGTCCTCTTGTTTTTTTTTTTTTTGAAAAAAATTACTTTTCACATATGCAATTACAGTATTTTCGGAATAATCTCATTTTAGTTAGTGTTATTTGATGGGCTTCTTTATTGCGAGTAAAATTTCAAGGACTTTCAAGTACATAAAACGAAATGATATGAGGAGGTAGACTGATTTTAGCATTTTTATCCAATGATGCAACTCGTGTGCATAGGTGTGTTCTCATACATTTCGCTAAGGAAAATAAAAAAAAAGGAAAAAGGACACTTCCTATTGAAGCTAGAAAATGAATTGTACACACCCACTATTTAATCTGAATTATTGACTTTCGTTCTTTATGTTCTTAAAACAAATTCATTGATGCAAAAAAAATTTTTTTTTTTAATATAAAAAAACCTTTATTTATTAATTAGTAAACTATTTTTGAATTCGTTAAATTTTATACAAAAAAGAAAATTTCTCTTGAAGTAAATTTTTTTCAAGGAAAATTACTTACAGGAAAATTTTTCTTGAGTAAATTTTACAGAAAAAATCATTTTTCCTGAAATTCTGTCAAAATTTCAACAAATTTTCAAAAAATTAAATTTTTAATTCAATTAATTTTAGTTAGTAAACAATTTTTGAATTTGTTAAATTTTATGCAAGAAGGGAATGTTTTCTTGATGGAAATTTTTTTCGAAAAGAAAATTTTCCCTATGGAATTATTTCTAATTCAATGAATCAGCAAAATTTTTTTTTCGAATTCGTTAAATTTGATACAAAAAAGGAAATTTTTTTAAAGTAAATTTTACAATGAAGGAAAATTTTTTTGCAGTAAATTTTACAGAAAAGAACATTTTTCTTGAAGTCAATTTGGCCAAAGGGAATATTTCTAATTCAATTAATTATTAGTAAACGATTTTTAAATTGGTTAAATTAAGAAAAATTTTTTTGAAGTAACTTTTTTCACAAAAGAAAATTTTCTTTAAGGAATTATTTCTAATTCAATTAATTAGTAAAACAAATTTTTAATTCCTTAAATTATACAAAAAAAAGAAAATTTTTCTTGAAGTAAATTTTACAAAATGAACAATTTTTTTAGAGTAAATTTTAGAGAAAAAGAAAATTTTTTTTGAAGTAAACTTGTCCAAAGGAATTATTTCTAATTCAATTGATTAGCAAATATTTTTTTTAGGCAGATAAATTTTACATAAAAGAAAATTTCCCCTATGGAATTATTTCTAATTCAAATCAATAAGTAAGAAAATTTTTTTAATTATGTAGTTAAATTTTACAAAAATTAAAAATTCTTAAATTATTATTATTATAATAAGAAAAATAAATTCTACTCGAATTTTTATTTAGCAGAATTTTTTTAATTAATAAAATATTACAAATTCTGTAGATAGAATTTTTTAGAAATAAAATTTTATTCTTAGAGAGTAGAAATAAATTTTTATTTTAAAGAAAATAAACAAAAATGATTTTATAATGGAAGAAAAATAGAAATGAATCTTTTTTTAAATAGAAAACAATGGAAATAAATTTTTTTTATCAGAATTTGTACCAAGGAATTATTTCTAATTCGATTAATTAGCAAAAATTAATTTTTAATTCGTTAAATTTGACAAAAAGGACAATTTTTCTTGGAGTGAAATTTTACAGAAAAGGAAATTTTTCTTTGAGGAAATTTTACAAAAAGGGAAAATTCTTCTTGGAATAAAATTTTTACAGAAAAGAAAATTTTTCTTGGAGTGAAATTTTACAGAAAAAGGAAATTTTTCTTTGAGGAAATTTTACAAAAAAGAAAATTCTTCTTGGAGTAAAATTTAACAGAAAATAAAACTTTTTTTTGAAGTGTAAATTTTACAAAAAGGAAAATTTTCGCTGAACTTTATTTACAAAAAAGAAAATGTTTCTAGAAGTAAATTTTTCCTAAATCGAAGACGAAATTATATTGAATAAAAATGTAAATGTTATTTTTAACAAAATTGATTTTTACTCTACTTTATTATCTGATTACTTTATTGTATTTCAAGTAATTTATTTTTTTCCCCGTTTAAATTAATAAATTTATCGTTTATCATTCTTTTTCGTCATTCGTTGTATAGATAAAAAATAATTTTTTTTCGCACGTGTGATTTTTTTCTTTTCTTTTTTTTTTGACAAAAAAACACACTCCCTCCCTTTTGGGTACATAAAATTTTCTTTTGTATATTTTAAGGTCAATTTAATAAATTCCCTGGTAATTTCTGACCCCGACCTAGCAACTCTCGGTGTGTTTTGATACTTTTTGACGTCACTCAAATATTGCGACGTAAAGCGCGGAAAACGTGAGAGGGAACTAATGGATAAGAGACGGTATAACTATTATTATTATTATTATTGTTATATATATACGTTTATATAGACGTGAAAGACTTGTAAGTCTTACATCAGGTGTATTATATATATTTTACCTCGTAAAAGTTTTAAAATGTTGATAATGAAGCCGCGAAATGGTGCAATATGACTGGTCGATTTCTCGGGT